ATATACCACAGATATATTAATAATGATCATAAAAAGATTTTCCATTCATGCAAGATTTAAATTACCCAGAGAAGCCTTTCTTTACTGTAGGTGTTCATCAGCCTGCAGGAGAACAAATACATTTCTTGCATCATAAAATAGCACTAGTTGCTGTAATTACATAAAAACAGTCTTGCTCACTTTATGAACACATCAAAACTCCTGTTTGGTCTTCAGGCCTCAATGCACAGTTTGACTGCAAAGGCACTTCAAAACATCCCTCTGCCGTGTCAGGGGGAACTGAAGTCACAGCAGGATGTCAGCGCCTTTCTGCGTCTTGCTGCTTGCCAGATGAGGATTTTCCCACTGTGCAGGGATCGGCTGACTTGCTCATCTTAGCATCTCGGTTCTGTTGCTCGCATCCTGGAGCTGGCACAAAGGCAGTGAGCTTCTGGGTGCCTGCAAGTGGCGGTGTCAAAATATACTGTGTTGCTGTCTTTGTGCCCCCCACCTGGGACTGGATTTAGCTCTGAAATAATTCCCTTAAAAATTGTCAAATGTGTTGCTCTACAGAGAGCTTTTTTTGCTAATTGGGTTGATCTGTGTGACAAGAACCTGCTCTTTATTCATAACAGCCTGGTGACCCATTGCTAAATAGGAAACTGCATGTTGGAGACTAAAGAAACACATTGTGAAATAATCCAGGGAATTTCACTCCTTATGTTTAATGTCACTTTATTAGCAAATGAGACTACTTACATTTTTTTAAAGGTTTCTCGGTGTTGGCTTGTAAAAGGCAAGTGTAGGAGGTCTTGAATGCAAAGGGGAAGGGGTGCGGAGGGGAGGGTGTGAGATCAGCAGCTCATATGTGCAACTGCGCTCGCATTTCCTTCTGTGGTGACTGCAAGTCTCGTACCTCTGAAACGTAGTACTTGTGCAGAGAACATCAGGCTTTGCCTCGGTAGCTTTGCAGATACGAGAACACAGAAACTACACTGGCGCTGCTCTGTACTCGTCTGCCCCTAAAACTCGGGAGGTTTTTTCACTGCAAGACGGTGCTCGTGGCCTCAGCCTTGTTCCCTCCGCATCCAAGTGCTTTCCTGTGGCGTGCTCTGAACACACCCATGGGATCGCTCACTGCTTTGGGCACTCTGAAACCTGCTGTTGCTTAGGTTCAATAGTGGTTACTATTTTAAAGTAACACTTCACAGATTTTAAAAAAAAAGAGAGTTTTGGAATTGTTTCAACCAAGCCGTAACCCAAGTCTAGTTAATAGGCCTTTCCCTGCCTGTGATTAATCTTGGCAAATATTGGGCCCTGCTGCTGCAGAACAGGTCGAGCAATCTGGCGTGCTGCAGGAGGCAGAACTGGTTCTGCTTCGACATGTACCAGCGAACAAACCCTACCGCGAGTTCTGGGGGAAAGCACTCGCTCACGTAACCGGCTTCGCTGTTGTTTTGCTCGCCCGAGATGTGGATGCATTTCGGTCTGGAATGGTGCACTGTCTCCCATTTTTCTTCATAATCAGGCCCATGAACTTAGTGAATATAAATTTCATCCTTCCTTCCAGAAGCCTGTTCTGTAATTATGATAATTTTTCATCCACTTAAGCAAAAAGTGAACTAGAACTTTTTTCTGAATTAGCGGGGGGCGGGGGGCAGGGAAGCAAGCCTTTAAAAAAAGGCAAAGTGATATTTAATACACTTAAAATGTATTAGTGGGGGTGAAATACAGGTTAAGGCAAACTTTCTTTTTGACTACATTAGGATATTTTAGGCTGTTAGCTATCATGTTTTCCCAAATGCCTTTTCCCCTTGGTGCAAACAGACTTGAATAGAGTGGCAGCAAAATAACAAAGAGTGTGTTATGTTGAGCAAGTTTGTGTGTTTAGAAAGGTCCGAGCACTTCTGAACTGATACACTGAAATTGCTTCAGCTGCCTGGGGTTGGATGCACTCTGGATTTATCTGCCACACCAATTACGCTGCTGCAGCTACAGGGCATAAAGTGGTGGAGCCTCGTAGTGCTCCTGGAGGCTGGAGTAGACCTGTTCTCTTAGTGGTACAGTGACAAAATGGGATTAAGGTCTCCTGATGAAACGCGTAGTGCTGTAATGCTCCTTCTTGTAGTGACAGGCACTGTATTCTGCCACAGACTATAGTTAAGAAAAATGTGTCAAAAGGAAAACCTTAACTTGTATAGGCCTACACTGAAATTTTCTTCTGTAGATGTGTATTTATTCAAGCCTTCTTTAGGAAGAGAGAATCATCCAAGTCACCTAGGTATGGGTGTTCTCCTGTGCCCTGCAGTGGAGGGTAAGATTGAGGCATTTTGCTGTCACACAGCCTGGGCTGCTACACCTTGGGGCAAGGGGAGGGAAGGCCTCACCTCTGTCTTTGCTCCTTGGGGGTCTGAGACAGCTATTTTGGCAGGAGGGAGGTTAGAATAATAGACTAATGCCTTTCTTGCAACCAAACTCTCACTGAGGTTAGATTTAAAATAATAATTTGTTACAACCTTGGGTCCACGGCTTCACATATTAAAGTGATGTGCTGCACAGAGCCTGCGTGCTTCCCTAGGCAAACACAGCAAGTGCGGAGACTGCTAAGCCAGAAATGTCATTGTGCAAACAAATGACTTTTCATAACTCAGTGGTTTTGTTTTAAACAAGAAGGAAGTGGAATCGGAGCTGTCAGGAGTAACAGGTGGAGAAGTCACCCTACAGAGCATCAGAAAGAGTATTGCTCCCACTCAAAGAGATTTAAGAAATCATTTTCACCAAAATCAGAAACAAATACCAGAGATAAGGAGCCTCTGTTCTGGTTATTAGGGGAGGACCCCACATCAGGCTGTCAAACCGGTTGCAGGACAACAGGGCCACACAGTCCCAATTCACAGAGCAGACAGCTAGGGAAGAGACCGGCTCCTGCCTTTCGCACCAAAGTAGGTGCACGGTTAACAAATGAGATGCTTTCAGGTCATCTTTTTCCTTGCAGTTTTTGGTGTTCTGCTCCTCCCCCCTCCCTTTAATTGCAGTACATTTTCATTCTTAAATGTCTTTTTTTTTTTTTTTTTTTAAATAAGGAATTTAACCAAAACTGTAAAGGGTTTTTGTTTTTTTTCCTTTTAAAGCAAGTTCTTAACGTGCAGGTTTAGTACTGTACGCACACACAGAGGTGTTTTGTTTTTTAAGCTCCTCTGATTCTGCCTCATCATTTTCAAAGGTGCTGAAAATAGAAAAGCAACGTTCTTAAATTTTTTTTTTTTTTTTTTTTTTTAAATCAGGAATTCAACCAAAACTGTAATGAGTTTCTGATTCTTTCCATTGAGCAAAAACCCTAGTGGAAGACAGGAATGGAGACTGTTGCACTGATTTCTCAAAGATAGCTTCTTGAGGTGGGCACCTCTGCATTTGATGGAAATAGTAAAGGGACAGGAAAAATGAGGCCAGCACTAGAAGCAAAAGGTTTTTATTAGCTTCTGATATTTCAACCCTACCTACTTAAGCTGCAGCTAGAACCAAAAAACCCCATATCTTTGTAGAAAGACTACCATAATCCAAAACAATCCATAAAAGTTTTCTGCATGTATTAAAAGTTAAAAAGAACTTTCAAGGTTTCATTTTCTAACAGCATCTTCATAGAGATAATATCCAAGTTCTCTTCCTAAGTGCAGATACAAGGCAAACAAGCATCCTACAAAATAATCTATGGAAAAAGGTAGTGTAGGAGGGAAATTAAGACAGTGTAGTAATCCACTAGTCAGACACACAAGTTAAATGTAACACAACCATACCATCAATGAAATATTTAAAAATGAAAATAAATTAAGGTTACATCAAAGTTCCTGCTTTACCTGTGTTGTTTAAATCCTCAATATAGTACATACCACTGCATTATGGATCATGGCAAAGACTTAGCACTAGCATTTAAAAAGTTGCTATAGAAACTTTTATGAAAATAAAACAAGATACTTCTTCACACAACTGTATGATGGCTACAGAAATTCCACTGAATCAGTTATTCAAACTAGGGCCATTTATTTTTAAAATCACTGTGAATTTCCGTAAGATCTTGGTTGCAAATCTGAACAGCCGTGAAAATGGAGATGACTGTCAACGAGCAGTGATCTATACATTCTGGCTGAACAAATGCTGTCTTACCCCTTGCGTTGCTTAGCCAAGCTGCACATTTTGTTCTCCCCAATACTTGCACCCCAGCAAGAACGCAATTTTGCAGAGCACAGTTTTTTGGTAGCATCTCGACATTTTCTGAAAACCAAAATCTTGTTTCATAAGGCCCCAGTCACTAGGTGAGCAATGTGAACACAGGCTTAAAAGGCTTTGTCAATGTGGTGGTTTACCTCTTGTACACGATGCTTCAGACTCATTTGCCATTTGGAAGCCAACTGCCTGTATGTATCATGATAATACATTGCTATTTTTCTAGAAAACATCAGTAAGCATCCCAGCTCACTATTAGTACACCCTCCCCGTTAACTATAACTGGACAGGGAAGGCCTAAGTGGTGCTTTGTTGGACTTGCTCTACAGATTTAAAGTAGTCCACCGAACGGAAAGCAAACACCCTCCATGGCCTTTGCAGTTTTGTAATATGTAATGGTGAAAACAAAGGGCTTAAATACACTAAAAGGTATTTAAAACTTATCCAATTATGAGTTTCTGATACTACAGTGCTGGATTCCTCCCATTATGCAAACCATAAGAAGGTAAGTGAACATTTCTGTGAAAATGCTATTTCCCTAATACTAAGCTCCTTGTTGACTATGAATTTAGATTTGCATTTATTAGATAAATCTTTTAGAGGAGAAAAATATTTAAAACAAATACCCTAAGCAGTTTCTGGTTTACTTGTATCAAATCTTCAGTGTTAAACCTAAAAAGAAGAAACTCTCCACAAAATGATGGTTAAACTAAGAAAATCTCCACAAAATGATGGTTAAACGAAGGAAATCTCCACAAAATGATGGTTAAAAGAACAGAGTTTTTGCTTGGTTACTGCATGGGCACTGCAGACAAGCTGCACCTCGAGAGTTCATTTCATAAGGTTGCAACAGTGTCTACTGTCCATTGTTTTCCGGATTTGTTGTGGTGGTTTCAGTGCCAACAGGTTGCACATTGTCTGCAAGATTGTGCGCGTGCTCGAGGAACAAGTCTTTCAGTACGCTCAGCTCCTTGGTCAGGAGCTTAATTTTTGCCTCTAAACGTTCGTTTTCTTCTTTGAGCTGGTTAACCCTTTGCAGCGTGTCTTGTGCTTTCTGCTTGCTTTTTAACCGGCTCTTTTTCACTGCCATGTTGTTTCGTTCTCTGCGCTGACGATACTCATCACTGTTTCTATCCACAAAGGAATTTTTCTTTCCCTGTTTGCTCGGAGGCACAGCTTTGCCTCCACCACCAGGACTAACGGGCACCAGCTGGGGAACCTGCTGCAAACCACTGGTGTGTGCTTGGGTGTGAATCACGCTTACTCCGTTTGCATCTGTAGCGGTGTTCTGTTGGGATGTCTTGCTCATTTGGACAGGCTCTTCTTGGACACAACAGAATTTATTAGGAGACTGAAAACTGTTATGTTTCTAGAAGGTGTTTCCAACAGGTCAACACATGGATTAAGGGCAAAGTGAACCTAGTAAGAAAAAAAACACCATTAAACGTGCTGGCTTCAGCTACAATCTTATACATCACTGGCTTTAGCATAAGGTACTGATGGTACATCTGGCAGTAACACATCACAACTGTGCTGGAAGTGGACAAGCTGCCAACTACATTTCAGAAGCCTCTCGAACGTATTTGGATTGGAAGGGACTGTTACTGGGTCATCTAGTCAAGCTGTTTGCATTGTTCACAGGGTTTACTCAGTTATTCCAAAGCCATCCCTGATGGATGGGTGTCTAGCCTAGCCTCGAATATCTCCAGTTTCACAACCTCTGTCTTGGCAACAGGTTCCACCGTCTAACTTTTCCTCCAGTTATATAATTTTCTTAATTTTCAGACTGGAGTTTTCCTTCTGCAGCTTAAACCTATTAACAGCCTGACTCTTGACCAACAGGAGTACTTGATCCTTGTCCTCTTCAGACCATCCCTCCGGGTATACACACAAATTCCTCCCTGGTCTCTTTTCTCTGGAGTGAGGGTGCTCAGACTGTCCACCTTTCCTTGATCATCTTACAGCACTTGCTTTTGAAAATGATGTACAAATTGATGACTGTTTTAAGGTCTCACTAGTACTGAGTGGGAAAAAAAATAATCTATGGAAAAAGGTAGTGTGCTGCGAAGGCTATGACAGTGACATTACAAGACCCCTTCAACCACAAGCAAGGTAAGACAAGCTAAGCCTGTAACAGTACTGTAACAAGCAGGTGGGACAGGAACACAGGGTGATGGCAACATGAGAATCACTACACAGCAAAGATGGGACTGTTGCCACCCATAGGAAGACAGCAGCCACAGCTGACTCGTCCACAAAATATGTTCCCCTGCTGTAACTCCTGCACTGGTCATTGTACGCTCTTCTTTCCAGCAGAAAAACAGGCCTGACGAGCAGGACACCCTCTCACCTGAGTCACGTTCTCCCGCTACTGAGGTCAGCCTGCTCCTGACCCTGCGGGTGGCACAAGCAGGACTCCACCACAGCTGCTGCAGGGACATGGCCCTGGCAAGGCTAGCAGCTGTTCCCTTCTCTTCCCATCTCACGGGAGGACCTCCTGAATCATAGAATCATTCAGGTCGGAAAAGACATTTAAGATCATCAAGTCCAACCATTAGCCTGGCACTGCCAAGTCCGCCACTGAACCACGTCTGGGAGGGAAGTTTGGGAGAGAAGAGGGGAAGCGCAACAGGGTTGTTCTAAGTTCCTGAAATGCCTAACTATGGCTCCAATGAAAAGTACTCAGCGATCAGTCAAATGAGTGTTGATTTCTTGTCGTGTTAAAGCAGAGTATCTAACTGGCATAAAACAATCCTACTCAAGATCAGATTGCATTGCTACAGGGCAGCCGTATGCTCTGTCACACACACACATGCGGTGTCACACCACCAGCGTTCAACATCTTCCTTGCCTATCCTCGGGAGGACCCGCTGGGAAAGCAAGCAGTTGAAGTTAGCGGTGGGCAATGCTAACTGCCCGGTATCGGCAGTGTCCAGCCCAGGGATTATGGCTCGCATCAGTAAGGGCACAAGAGAGGGATGACTGTACTCCTGTGTCTAGCTGATGAATGGATGTGGTGAGATGTTTGTAAGCGAGCTGCTGTGTGTTACTCACGGGTTCATCAGCTGTTCACTGTTCTTATTTGTTTGTTTTTCTCAGCAGCCTGAGTTGCTGTTTTACCTTCTGCTAGGGTATCACTAAAACGGTTAAAATTCTACTCTCTAGATCAATTGCAAGTTTTCTTCCATAATGAGGGAGCCAGAACAAGATGCAGTTGAAGAGTGTGGTTCAGTAAAATTCACTGAAAAGCCTATTAAGTTTGGATTGAATGTTATTCACAATTAACATTCTCTGTCACCGAGAAGTCTTCTCACTTAAAACAAGTGAAGACGATGTGCGAGTACACCCACACCCCTCCTATAAAGAAGTATTTTCATTTCCGTATTTCAGGGCAGAGACCATCAACTCTTTTTGACATCTGTATAGCTAAATCTATATACATATATGCCTAACCTTTGTATTTAGTAGTTTCCTGATTTCAACTCTTAAAGCAACTTTTGTAAACTACATTGAAGCCTTAGATTCTAACTGAATAAGCAATTTGGTCCAGCAGTTAAACTGAACACAGAGCTAACAAGATGTCACTGTGCACAAATACCAGACTGGCATGGCCAGTTGTAGTAGCTGTGCGTGTGTGATTGCACAGACATTTTTAGTCAAGATGGAAGTGTATGCTCCTCTTGGAGCATATACTGGCTTGTCTCAGCTTTATTTTTAAATACAGGATTTCTGTAGCCATCAAAGAGCATATAGCTCTGTTAGATTGCCTCTGACAACTGAATTTTTCCACTAATTGTTGGCATCTTTTCAAGGTCAGACAGCATGCTCTACTGTCCCCTCTATTTCAACACATTACAGATCTTGCTCATTTCACCTGGGCAGCCCAGTTAAGTAACCCATACCATTTTCACGATCTGCTTTTTGTACTTCGTGAGACACTACAGAGGAAGGGGTAGCTCCTGCCCCCGAAGGCACCCCACCCGATGTGTAACAAGTTTCTTCACATCACCAGGTTCCATGTGCTATGTCTCCCTATGCTATCGAAACTATTTAATACTGCTTTAACTTTCCCTTCAGATCTCTATCAAATTCCCCTGTAATTCAAAGGAAAAATTATTTGTTCCATTAAACTGAATTTTAATGGAATATTTTAGCTGGGCAGTATAGAGATGCGAGCAGAGGCGATGAACCAGTGTCACACCTCTCGAGCAAGTATTCTAGCCCTGCTATAACAGATCTCCCTCAATTCCTTCCCACTGGAACTAATCCATTTTGTATCAAATAACTATTTCTTGAGTGAGAGACGCTTTTATTTGGCCTGATGATCAGAACTCCTACCTGGGAGAGATGACACCTGGATTCCTGTCCTGTTCCAACTAATATTTATGCAGAACAAGTAGCACTAACTGTACTGCATCACAGATAACCCAGGAGTAGTAACAGTTGAGGCTTGAAACTAATTTTTCCCCCTGGTTATTTGGAGGCTGGATCCCCATTACCTGTTGTCAGTTCTTCAACAGAACAACAAGAGGGAAGGATATCCTGGATAGCAACAGGTGCTATGGGGCATCCTTCAGGGAATACTGCAAGAGGTTTAAAGGCAGCAGGGACGAGACATACAGAAGGGGCTCTCGAGAAGGATGACGTAAAGGACACGGTAATTGGGAGAGGCCACGAGAGTGGGGAGGCAGATGGGTCTCAGAGTTCGTTTCTCAGACACCGTGCCACACAAACGCAACTGCTCCGCTCCTCTCCGCAAACAGGTTGCTTTGCCGTGAATGGGTGATAGCCCCGGCACAGCGGGAGGCAGCTCCTCGGAGAGACAGCCGAGTTTCCAAGCATCTTGTTCCCATAAAGCTGCTCATTAGCCTGAGCTCAGCGACAGCCCTAGGCTGGTTCCACCCAGCACATGGTAGTGTTTCCAGTGGCCAGTTAGAACTGCCTTGTTCTCTCCTTGGGCCACCCACTACAGCATAATAGCTAGTAACTCAGAGGTGTCTTCTCAGACAGAGAGATGTTTCTTACTGTCTGACAGCGCTCCTCAGGGACCACAGAGACTCCCAAGCAAATCAAGGCCTTTATTATCTTTGATTTCACAAAAAAAAAAAATTTCAAAAAATTAAACTTCCACATGTTTGTTTTGGCAAAAAACAAAAGATGTATTTTAATTTGTTAATTAAATCAGTATTTTTTTTACTTAGCAGCAAAAAATAGAAAGTGCTTCTCTCTGCTCCTTTCCTGAGATGTGACTGTGTTGATTCTGATCATTAGTCAGGATGACTTTATTGCACAAATTCACTGAGCTGTCTTGTCTAGTGCAAACTCAGTCCCAATCTGAACAGCAATAGGTGGTCTCCCTTCTCTTTGACTTCAGTAGGAATACCCCTGTAGGATCTGTCTCTAAATCCAGATGACCCTGTACAAAGAATGACACCATAAAACTCCAGGCATGCGTTTGCTGAATACTGGGAGGGCCCACTCCTGCGTCGTTTTCTCCACACTCTCACAGGCAAGTTAGTAAGAGGTGATGGTAACTCTCACATACTGAAGGCTAGGCAACAACTTTTCTGAGACTAGGTAGCTCAAAGCTATCATCTGTTGCCATAGCTGACAACATCACTTTCCCATATTTTTCTCAGAATCTCCATTTTTTCCATACACCTTAGAAGAAAAATGCACTCTAAAATCCTTAAAAAAATGTGCTCATAACATCTCAAGTATGTATTTTAATTACAGGCTAGCAGTGTTGATGACAGAATCACAAACAATCCCAGATGCCAGGAGGCAAGGAGGTCTCAATTGGACTGTCTTTTGAGTTGCAAAGGCGGCAGCTTTTTCTAAAGATGAACTAACTCCTTAAATCTGAAAGTTTTTCAAATTACAAATTTTTATAGTTTCTGAAGAGGCGTTATAACAAGCATGGCACTGTTACTGAGAGGAGTATTGAGTTGTCTTAATGACTGCTATTTCCCACCAGATGTCAGAGCTAAAACCAACGTCAAGCTTTCTGTGATAGATCTGTTCTGAAAGTTGCATCTGGAGCTATAAAAATTTTGTTGGGAACCAGAAAGATTTGTCAAGACATTCAAAACTCCACTGAGAAGCTAGAAAAGAAGAACACCAGTCGTTAAAGCACGGCATTTTATCGTGGCTGAGGGCAGCCCCCGGGATCCCCGCGGCCCTGCGCGCCCCCGGGAGCGCGGTGCGCGCCGCCGGCGGGGTTACCGGCCCCGCTCGCAGACCGCTCCCTAGGCCGGGCACGCTCGTTACGGCCGCGGCTGGCGGCGGCGGAGG